GTACAGCCCCCCTCTATATTTTTACAGAGCCCTCTATACAATATACTGTACAATTACTGTTAAAGGCTTTCTATGAATACTGTTTTAATTCTAATCTCAAAATACTCTCTTTCAAGGGTGAGTATCCTTTACACCACCTAAGTACAAAAACTGCTATTCTTATTTACTGACATCAGAAAAACACATTTGGTTTTGATGAAACCACATTTAAAATGGAAAACAGCATAATTTTTCAAACCCACAAACAATCAAAAGCTTAATTTTGACCAATCATCTTCTAAGAGAGCAACAAACCAGAGTTCATACACTGGAATAAATCCTAACATGTTAAACAGATGCTTAAAGGGAAAAGAAAGCATAAGCTTACCTGTTGGCAGTAACTTTTAGAGATATAATTAATTCAACATTTCTGAGCAAAAAATGTATTTAATTTTCACTAAATAGATATCAGATACCTATTTCCTTGTCCTCCTGGAATGTCTTCCCCTTTCTTTAGGTAAAGGCACCTCAAACTCTCCAAGCCAGGCATGGTGGCACATGCCTATAATCCCAGCAAGGTGAGGAAAGACAAAATTCAAGGCCAGTCTGGGCTACCTAATGAGCTTAAGGCCAGCTGGAACTATGTAGTAGAGATTCTGTTTTAAAATTTAACAACAACAACCAAAAAAACCACTTCAACTCTCATTGTGACTCCTCCCTCCCTGATGCTATAAAGTCTTTATGAGAATGTCAACTGACAGCAGCACTACAGGTGCAAACACAGAACACAGACACAAACAGACAGACAGACAGATACACACACACACACACACACACACACACACACACACACAAATTAGACACCAGACATCCAATGGTTAGACATAGTATCCAAACTAGGTCACTCATATACTCCCTCCAGGAAATTTGAATCAACTGACAGAAGAACAAAAACCAGTTAGCACAGTCTTTGAGACACGGAACCTTAACTGATTATCCATGAGTCAGCTCCTGAAGCCTATTCTCCTAGCTTAGCCTCCACAGTCTGGTTGTTCAGCATTTTCTGTCTATAGCTATGTTATTAATATAGTTCTGTATCCTACCTTTTTCAATTTAATAATGTATCATGGGCATCTTTTCAGACTAGTTAGTACAGATGCTTATCATTATTTTCAATGGCTGGATGTGATGAATGTGTCATAATCCAATCAATTCACTATTTAAGATCATTTCTAGTTCTTTACTATGCACATACATCATTGCTAACTTTTTCTATTGTTTCTTTGGAATAAATTCCTACTGAAAGTGGATTTTCTGGGTCAAAGACTATGCACATTTTGTATATGAAACCTAATGACAACTATTTAAAATGGGGACATTAATTTGTACCTCTATGTCTGAGAGCATACACTTGAGATGCCCAAACATTAGTATTACCAAACAGAGAAATAGAAGCAGTCAGTCATCATAAAAGCACTAAACTGATTCATATTCATTAAAATCTAAATTGTCAACACAATAATTGAAAATGTCTCAGGCTACACAAGCTGCTGTAACAAAACTGATTCCTCAGTATCCACAAGTAGGAAGGGCGAGATTGGTTTTAGAATCCCATATGGATACCAAAATCTGAAGATGCTCAAGTTTCTTAAATAAAATAGCATATTACTTGCATATAACCAAATAAAATCACCTCTAGATTACATTCAAAATCTAAAACAACATAAAATACTACATAAATAGTTGATATACTGTATTACCTAGGGAATAATGACAAGAAAAGTCTATACCCATTTGGTACTGACACAGTTTTTTCCCCAAATATCTTCAGCATGTGATTGGCTAAATCTCTAGATAGGGAACCTGACAATACAGAGCGTCAACTGTACCACAGAATGGGTGACTAAAAGAGCAGAAATGTATTATTCACAGTTCCAGGCGGGGGGGGGGGGGGGGGGCCAAGATCAAGGTGCTGGCAAGATAGGTTTCATTCTGAGGCTTTTTCTCTTGGCTTGTTGGCACTTGTGATTTCAAGGTATACTCAAATAACTTTGTCTTTGTGTGGGTAAAGAGATAGGAGCCTAAGCTGTCTGGTGTCTTGTAAGGGCACCAAATCCCATCATGAAAGACCTACCCACACCCATGGCCCCAATGAACCGTAATTATTTTCTAAAGCCCCTATCTCCTTTAACATAAGAATGTGGAAATAAGGCCTAGGCGTGGTCATACATGCTCATAATGTCAACACTCCGGGAGGCAGAGAGAAAAGGACCACCTAGTCTGGGTAACATAGTAACTCCAGGAGATACTGTCTCAAAACGAAAAAAAAAAGGGCTGGAGTTACAGTTCAGCGTCAGGCCCTGAGTTCGACCTCCAGTGCTACGAAAAGAAGGGCAGTGGGTAGGGACACATCCTAGTCTGTAACAAACAGTATCTTACTTATCCTTTTAATGCCCTGGGTTCAATTCCCAGCACCACATTTAAAAAGAAATGAAAAGAAAAAGGCTCCAAAAACATACCTGTTCAAATCTTTAGGTCATATATATTACATGACATATACTTGGTACTCCAGGAACTGGATACTTGATACTAACCTTTTTACTTTTTGTAGTGCTGAATTTCAAATGTAGGTAAGCATTGGACTACTGGGCTATATTCTAGGTCTAGTAATTATTGTTGTAGGGTGTAACAGTAACAACTTTGTGACTATTTTTAAGGAAACTTTCTGTTTTAGAAACATTCTAAAATATTTATAGACAAAATTGCAACTGTTTCATTTTCTTTAAAATACTCTAAGGATGGGCCAGGGATTTAGCTCAGCCACCTAAGTGCCTCCTGGCAAGTCCAAGGTTGTGAGTTACAACTGGTACCAAAAAATAGTAATAATATTATTATAATTATAATAATCTAAGGATAAAAGAGAGGGATATATGCCTCAAGTAAGACTGGTGATACCTTTTAACTGCTGAAGCTAAGTGGCAGATACAATAAATGCTTCATTATATTAGTCTCTAATTTTTTAAGAGTTTCACTGTTTATTCCTGGCTAACCTGGAACGTGGCCTACAGCCTTTCATTCTCCTGCCTCAGCTTCCCGAATGCTTAGAATGCAGATGTGTGGGTCACCTCAAACCAGTTCTACTTTCCTTAATGTTTAAAATTTTTTATAATAAACAGTTAAAAGTTCTGCCTACCATGTTCAGGGCCCTGGTTTGAGCCCTAGCAGAAAGAAACACATTTAAAAAGATTTCCTCACATCCTTAGCCCACTTTTCTATGGTGATATTCACCTTTTGCTGATTTACACAACTCTATATTGCACGTGTTTTTCCAGTTTGTCATCTATCATTCATGCCATTCTTTACCATATAAACATTTAAAATATCGGCAACTAATTTGAAGGCAATAAGATTCACAAAGATGCCCATTCTGGTTTGACTATTGTCTCCTTTGGAAGTCCTGTAATGTTCACAATGCCTAAGTTTTATTGGTCTTGTTCTCCACTGTTTTGTCCGGCTTTATAATATCTAATGAGATGGACAATTCCTTTTAAGGAAACAAGAGACAACGTTGATAACCATTGTTGATAACCTTGTACTCTGTTCTACATCATGTGCTATGTCTATCCTTGGTTTTGACTTACAGCTTTGTTTTGCCATATTTGACTTTATTCTCTCCCCCCCCAAAAAGTAATAAGAACTAAGGAGTAATAAAATACAAAATGTGTAAATTTTGTTATAAAAAAGAGAGGGAGGGGAAAAAAAAAGAGCTCTAACGGATATAACAGCAAGTGTGTTTAGGGATGTTAAATAGCTGACTATATTAATGTTTTTGGATCATTGAACACAGCTGTTTGCAGTCTCTCCGTTTGAATGTCTACTTTGTATTTTTTGATACTGTGATTTGAGCAACTATTTCCAAGATGATATTATGTAATCTATTAACAGGTGATTTCTTACTGTTATGTTTTTTTTTTATGTAGTTCTGTATTATGTGTAACCTTACACTGCTTTGTTTTGTTTTGTGTTTTTCTCTTTTTCCTCTTAAATAAAAAAAATAAAATAAAAAAATAAACATTTAAAATAATGTATGTCGGACCGTTATCAGAACATTTGCTTTATACTCATACGTGATGCTGAACTTGACTTTCCCTATATTAGGATTACAGTATTTACACACATTTCCCTTTAAGAGGTATTTAAATTTTAAGTACATACTTCCCATACACAAAAATACATCACCATGATAACATTATCTAGAAAACAAAAACTCATCTACATCAGCCACAAATTTTAAAAAGATGTACCATGTGTCAAGATCCACATGACATGGAATTGACAGAACCCAGCAAGGACATTACACACTTAATAGTTTTATCTTCCACGGGAGCTATATTTTAAAGAAGTAATATGCATTAAATAACAACTAGTTTTATTTTCCTGTTTTAATTAAAAGTTTGACATTTTTTGTTCTGGTCATCATGAATTAACATTTAGTAGGCAAATATTTACAAACAAAATATGGTATATAAAAAAGTGATACATAAATATAACGGGTTTCTAGGCCCTAGAAAAAATTTGATACACACTACAATATGGTAAACATTGAGGACATTATGCTAACTGAAGTCAGTCAATAACAAAAGGATAAAAATTGTGTGATTCAAGATTTATGCAGCGATCTGAGCAACTATTTTGAAGGTAACACTATACGATGTAACAACCATGATTAAATTCCTATCATCTTGTTTTGAAATCCCGCAGAATTTGTTTCGTTGTTGCTGCTGCTGTTGTGGTTAATACTGTTGTTTGGTTTTCATTGTTGCTGTTTGTTTGTTTGATTGCCTTTTGATTTTTCTGTGCTTTTTTTGCCCTTTGAAATAAAATAAAAATAAATTGTATGAGGCACACAGAATTGTTAAATTCATAATAAATAAATGGGCAGTAAATAGTAAATAGAGCGTGGAAGAAGAGAAGAATGGAGAGTTACTGGGCAGTGCTTCAGTCTGAGTAAATGAAAAAAGTTTTGGACATACATGGTGGTAATGGCTGTTTATTAATACCACTAAACGGTATACTTTTTTAAAAGGTTAAAACAGCAAATTTTATGTTATGTGTATTTTACCACAGAAAATTTAGTACATTAACATTTAGTAACTAAATTAACATTATCCCAGCCAAACTAAAACAAACTGGACATTTTAATTATATAGTCCATGCAGTGTCATAGGGAAAGCGAATAATTTCTGCAAGGTTTAGTAATACTGAAAAATCTTTACAGAATCCTAAACAAGAACCAATACAGTAATCAAATCATAGCATTTCAGGTTTGAAGCTTCACCCAATTTTTCACTGCATCTTACAAAGGCACATTCTGTGTCCTATCATCTTGCCACCTCAGAAGAAAATAGGAGAATCTGTAGTAATGTAAGTGCCGTGGAACACATGAAGACACACTGCCACCAGCTTACTCAAGCCTACTGTAGGCAATCAATAAATCTCCCTGAATCCAAATACTCTACCTGCAACAAACCCAAACTGAAAACCTAGTCTTCACAGTCTGCCCTATAAAACTTTTAAAATTTGGCCTGAAGTAAGGTTACTGTCTCTACTATTCTTCCAATACTTGGGATCTCTGCATGAACTATGGATGATTCAATCTAAAATAGGCTTTCTGTACCACCCATCGAGTCAATGGTTAAAAAAAAATTACATTCAGTTTTAGTAAAAAATCAGTATGACTAGCCAAACTGTTATTCTTATGGCTACATTTGAAAACTAGAAAATTCAGTATGATACATATCCTTTCCAAATGAAGAGGTCATTATTTTAAAATATACAGTAAATACATTTTTCAGGCACATGAGTAATCATAGCTTTCTACACCCTCCGTATTTGAAAGTTCCAGTCTGTTAAAAAAAAATTTTTTTTTCCCCTCCAGCTCAGTACTACATGCTTGTAAATCTAGAGGTCAACACCACCTCCAACATGTGAAAAAACCGCTACTTGCAAAACCCTTACTAAAACACAGCACTTATAAATTTTTAAATATTCATTCTCTAATAATTTTCATGCACCTTTCCTTGTTTTAAATTGAGGAACCGAACACTAGATTAGAATATTCATAATGTATTCATATAGTCATTTCCAATATAATAAACTATCATGAAAAAGCAAGAAACATGTGAATCTCCCATTCGGAATATGTCTATCACTGCACAATGCTGAGATCAGCTCCAACTGTCCCATATGAGGGGCAGCAGTCTCAGCACGACTCCCTCTGGATTGCAGTGTGGCTATGTGCAAGGTGCACTGCCACTGCACACCCAACCCACTCTCCAACCCCAGGCAAGCCTTCCATACGCTGCCTGGCAGAGAATCCGCCAGGACCACACCATTCCCTGTGGGTTTGCCTGCAAAAACTAAACTCCAACTGTGAAATGGTCAAAACCTCAGACACAGAACAGGTACAAAAGGAATCCTGGAACGGGTTTTTATATTCTTTAAAACCCCAGAAATAAGTCCCCCTGTGCTAAAATCTGTCTATGAAAAAGGACTCACTGCTTTCCATAAGTTTTATTTTACAACTACTGCAAAATAAAAGTAGACAACCCAGAAAACAGTTCCCTGTCCAAGGGAACTGATTATCCCTAGGAGAAGTAGTATTACAAGACTTCCTGATCATCTGGGCAGATCTGTAGGTAAGAAGACTAAAAATAGGCCTTTAAATAACATCAACCCCAGTGAGGGTTGGTGTCACCCTCATTTGTTCCACAAAGGTAGATCACTCTCACCTCCCCAACCTTGAAGTAGTGTCCTAACAGAAAGTAGCCTCTTTCATGCTACATGCCCCAAGCGGGTCAAACTTCACGTCAGCATCATGCACTGGGTTTTGAGGCGCAGGGCAGAGGAAGGGGTGGTACTGGCAGCGGAATCTCCGTGATTTGCCAGAGGAAACAGCACAGACTCCAGACAGCAGAAGCGCCGGGATTTCCATGCAGCTGCCACGACAGGTGACTGGGCCGCTTTTGCAGACACGCTGCTCGCTCGCGGGGCTTCACTGAAGGTGGGGCGGACAGGAAGGGAAAGGAGGGTGGGAGTCCGGACTGAGGACAAGAAGGTGGGCAAAGTCGGGTGGGGAAGCCACTTCACCGCGACGGGGGAGGCCGGGGGAAGCACAGCCCGCTCTGCCCCGCGAAACCGCTCCACAATTAAGGCGGGCGGGTGGCTCCAAGCCAAACGCCTCCTGATTTACACACGAGCACGCACGCACACACACACACATCCCGAGCTCCTCTTTCGCCCCATTTCCTCACACGCTGAAACAAAGGCTGGAAGGCAAAGCAGCAGCAACAGACGCCCCGCTCGGGTCGGTCGTCGTCCCCGCGCCGCGCCCTCGCGAGGCGCCCCCACAGCGGCCCACTGCGCCCCTGCACGCCGCGGCCGAGCCCGGCGCCGCCCGCCGCGCCCACCACGCCCGCCGGCGCCGGCACGAGGACCCGCCGCGAGACGCTGGCGGGGACTCGGAGGGCGCTCCGGGCCGCCGCGGCCGTGACAACGGTCCCCGCGCCGCCTCACCTCCCGAGCGGCCGTGGCGGCGGCCCCGCAGCTCTCCGCGCCTCTCCGCCTCCGCCTCCAGCAGCCCCGCGCCGCCGCCGCCGCCGCCGCCGCCGCCTCCCCCCCGCGTCTCTGGCAAGTCTCCGCCTCCCTCGGCCGCCGCCGCGCCGGTCCGGCTGCGCGCCACGTGACCGCGCCACGTGACCCGGCGCAGCGAGCGGCGCCTCCCCGCCGGCCTGCCCAGACCAGCGCGTCGGCCGCTGGCGCTGCCGGGCTCGTGGCCGCTGCTCCGCCCCGCGCGCCGGGTGCCGGCTCCCGCTCTCGCTGCTGCCCCCACACCACGCCGAGATCACCTCGCGGGCCACGGGCACGGGGGCGGCTGCCCAGCGGAGCCCCTCCCCCACCCGGAGGCCGCCCCCACGGGCCCCACGGGAGGCGCTGCGCCGCCTCCCGCCTTGCTGCTCACACGCGCGCGCACAGGCACGCACGCCCGCGCGCGCGCGCCTCCCGCAGCCGTTGCCTGCCAGACCGCGGCTGCACGCAGCCTGGCCGGGGTGAGGACGGCCTCGGAGGACCGCGCTCGTTTGAGAAACCCTCACCCTGGACTCGTTTGTGGTCCACGCACTCAGTTTGAGCCGGAAGTGGACATCACGTCGTGTCTTCAGTTGTGACCTGCGAGAGAGAACAGATTTGCCAATGCTGTGGACCAGCGTGGGTCCCCATGAAAACAGTCTTTGAAGTGTTTGGTGGTGGTGATCTCATATAGAGTATCTTACGAAGAAATGAGCAGATAGCGTCGTTTTAACAAGAGCTAGAATCCCACCACCATGTTCTGCTAAGAACGGAAACTTTAGTCATCTCTTTCATTTCCTATCATTACAAAGAAATAGTGTTGCAGATTGTCGGACTATTCGTACATGTGTATTTAAAACTAAAAATAATACAAGCATTTTTTTCTTGATTTGAGGCATAGTTAATAGTAGCCACTCTGCGAGTAAGTACTCAGTGTTATTTTCTGTTTTGCCTTATCTGCAAAAGCCTTGACTTAATTTCAGGATTAAGAATGCATGATGCTTGTGTAAATTTGCTCAGAAAGAAAAAGGAGTTGGTCTAAGAATCCGTTAAATTATAAAATTCCGCACCTGTGGATGTTGACACGTGCTACCTAGATTTTTTTTTTTTTTAAGGCAGTTTTAGTGGCCAGAGATACAGCTCAGCATCACAGCAACTGCCTGGCAAGCATGAGGTCCTGAGTTTGATTCCCAGTACCAAAAGAAAAGCAATTTTAAAATGATATGGGGGGGGGGAGTATAGGATTTTTAAAAATATTTGGCTTATGTAAAACATTTAATAAAAATACTAATATCAGCATTATTTCATGACAGCACACCTAAGCTTAATTTTGAAAACTTTAAGAAATAAAACACCATTTAGGTCTGGAATACATTATATCATTAACCTCTTTAACTCAATATAATGAGTATCATGGTTCAGGTTAGTGTCCTAAATGGGGAAATCAAAGAAAAAATAGAATATGTCCCTTGCATTCAAAACTTATTTCTAAACAGGATTACTATAAAATATGTATAACAGTTTTAAAAGCCTGTCTTTGTCTCTGGCTCTCTCTTTCTCTCTCTCTCTCTCTCTCTCACACACACACACACACACACACACACACACAAACTGGGATCAATAATCAAGGACCTCGGGCAAATTTTGACTCTGGCTGTCAAGCCTTAAAGAGTAAAATGATGAAAAATAAAAACTATGAAGTTAAAGAACTTACTTGAGCCTATAAATACAATTTACGTAACATAAAAGAAATGTTTTAATACCACCAAGACTGTTGGTATTTGTCTGCAAATGTACTAACCTTGAAACTACTCTCCTGACACAGTTTTCCATATATTTACTTTTACTATTCTTTCTGTTCTCAGAACCAGCCTTCTACCCCTCACCTTGTCCCTTGCCCCTCAGAGATCTCTTTTCCTCTGTATTTTAAAAGGAAAATGGTTTGTTTAAGACCTCTAACTTGGAGTCAGAGTAATCTGTCAAATCTGTTGTGAATCCACATTCTACAATGAAATTTTTAAATATCTTTCTATGAAATGAAAAGATTTGCCTCTTATTTAAAAATTTGAGGCATCACAGGAACCAGCAAGATGCCCAGCCTTATAAGGCATAAATTTGCAAAAGCTAAAGACCTTGATTTGAAAAGAGAACCCCAGGGCAACCTGTTCCAAAGAATGGCAGCCTAGAAGCATTTATTCCCCAAGATTCAGTTCACAAGGCTCAAATACTCAGAGGCCTTTGGAGCCCCAATTCAAGGGAGCTTGGTACTGCTCCATCTGGCAAGAGACCTTGGTGTCAAATTCATGTGGTGCTGCATACAGAATGCCAGAGTTGTGGGGTCAGGAAGGATTTCACACATTTCAGAAGAAGGACTGGGAAGCCAGGAACAGTGCCCCTTAAAAAAAAAAAAAATGCATGAAGCTGAAAATGCAGTGGTAACTCCAGAAAGTTGAATAAGCCAGGAATTTGGAACATAATGAGAAAAGATGCAAGGACTTAGTAAAAATCAGCCCAAAAGAGAAGGCATGAGGGGTTATAACTATAGGCAGTTCTATAAGGACAGGGCTGCCCATACCCATTGTAGTTCACATCTCTTCAGTACAACTTTCCCCAGTGTCTTACTTTTCTCATTGCTGAGACAAAATACCTGACACACAAAAGGAGGAAAGGTTTATTTAACTCACAGTTCATAGAGGTTTCAGTCCATAATTGGCTGGTTCCAAGGTAGAGAAGTTTGGCAGTTTATTATGGGCAGAAAGTAGCAAAGCAACAACTGTGGAGGAGACAAATCCCTTTCTGTCCCTTATATACAGTCTACTGGGATTGGGGCAGTGCCAATCCAATCAGTGGACTGATCCAGCAATCATCCATCCCCACTCCCACACCTTTAATCTCAACATTGCACCACCAATTGCACTCTAGATTCAGCCACGTCTGAAAAGCCCACCCCCATGACTGTATGAGCTTTGGGGGAACATCTAGACACAAACCATAACACCTGGTATAGTGTTATGGATTAAGAACTGGTGGTCAATGCCAGCTGGATTACATCAGCATGGAATTGAGCAAAGATGCTCCACCTGAGGAAAGTTGCCAGAATAATTAGGGAGGTGTGGAGGGTTGAGACATTTAGGTATTAATGCATTAATGCATTGAGGCATTGTGGGTTCTCCTACGAGTTGCTGTCTGAGCTGTTGGTTCTCCTGGAGAAGCTCTGCTCCTCACATCGAGCATTGCTTCCTATCTCTGGAGGGGAAGACGTGTGCCTCTTGGTCTCCAGGATGAACTTGTTATGCTGCTTCCTGGCACATACCCGACTCTGCTTGTCGTTGGAGGAGCTCTGGGCCTCCATGTCGCTGAGGATGGTTGTGGTGCCTTTCAGGACAGCCCTGGTCTTTGTTGTATGACTTCTTAACTACAATGTAGAACTCTTATCCCACCAGCACAGCTCCTTCACCCCACTGGCATGGACTTTATGGTTTCCACCGCTGACCCTTAGGTCTTCCTGGCACAGATCCATAAAAGAGACTGGCGTGAGTCCTTCTTGTGGGCTCTGGACCTCCAGTTGGACTGGTGGGAGGCATTGTCCTGAGCTCTGGGTTTTTATCTGGATTCATGTGGGATGCTGCTGTGGGATTTAGGCCCTTGACTAAATATTCTATATCTTTGGTGTTGCAGATTGATTTCCTGCATTTTTTTGTGTTAACTCCCGGTGACCATTATAAAAATAATGTTATTTTGTCCTGATTCTACTTGTTCTCTGCACGACATATAGCATATGGAGCTGCAGGGTTTAATGTTTGCCCTACCATGCTTTGGCCTTGCTTTAGTATCATTGTTTATTATCCCCATTCCTCCCTTTTGTAATGGGGCTGTTTATCCTGTGCCATTGTATATTAGCAACATTTGATTTTCTTTTTGACTTTTACAGAGGCTCACAGTTAAGAGTTTACCTTAAATCTCAGACCTTAGACTTGAACTTTTCAGCAATGTTCAAACGTTAGGACTTTGGCAACTCTCAGAGATGGACTAAATGCATTTCACACAAAGGAATGTGCACGAGTCTTTTGGAGATTAGGGGTGGAACGTTATAGTTTATGTGTAGATGTTTCTCCAAAGCTTCATAGGGGTTTTTTTGGAGATGATTAGATTATGGAGTCTTATAGCTGACTTGCTATTAGGAGACGGGGTCTGGGGCAATGAGGCTGGTCACTGAGCCTCAGCCTGGCATGGTGTATCTCCCTCCCTGATTTCTCCCTCCTCTCTCTCTCTGCTTCATGTCTACCATACCATGAACATCTTACATGAGCCTCTGTCATATGTGTCCTGCTTTGGAGCCAGCTGACTACAGACTCAGCTAATTATGAAATCTCAACAAACTGTGAATCAAAATGTACCTCTCCTCCTTTAGTTATAGATGTTAGGTGTTGTGTCCCAATGACAAAGAAGGTGACTAAGACATATCATTTGCATTTTTCATGGATGAAAGGACTTAGAGGCCGTTCTACACCCAACAGATTGAATAAGAAGAAATGAGAAATCATTTCTCCTTTATTATGCCAAAATAAAGAAATACGTAACAATGTGAAGCATTAGACCCTTTCCTGTTCAATTTAGTTAACTTAGTGAGATCCTGTCTCAAAATTAAAACTAAGCTGAACATAGTGTCTCACCGATAATCTCCACACTTGGGAGGCTGAGGCAGGAGGATTGCCATGAGTTTGAGCCAGCCTGGACTATAGAGTAAGTTCACATATAGCCTTAACTGCATTGTGAGATCTTATCTCAGAACTAAATAAATACCAAAAAAAAAAAAAAAAAAAAAAAAAAAAAAATACAAAGAGCTGGGGATGTGGCTCAATGTGAAGGTCCTGCATTTAATCCCCAGTACCACAAAAAAAGAAAATGTAAAAACAATAGCAATCTTCTTCCTCATTTTTTTGTTCTAGAAAATATGGTTGTAAAATTAAAATGTGTGATGTATATTAAAAATAAGTGTCTTATTATTATTTTAAGTGAATTAATAAATATTTTAAGCCTTGGGGCTGGGGCTCAGTGGTGTAGTACTTACTTGTCATGCATGAAGACCTGGGTTCAGTCCCCAGCATGAGAAAAAAATATACATTAATTTTTTCTTTTTTAATTGGTAAATATAGCCAGACGTAATCCACCTTTTAAAAATGCTTGCTGGACCTGGAGATTTAGCTCAGCAGAATAAGCATTTGCCTGGAAGCAAGAGGCTGTGAGTTCGACCCCCGGTACAGGAAAAAAAAAAAAAAAATGCTTGCTGGGTAATTTTTAAACTTCTAAAGGGAAGAAATTACAAGAAAGTCTAGAGTTGCTCTTTCAGAGAGAGGATGCTGTGCCTGGAGCTGCTGCTGCCATCTTGTGGCCACACAGTGAATGAGGTGGGGCAGAGAAAAGACAGTGGCCTGTGTCACCGACCTTTGGAAATACTGTACACACTTTCACTACTTTGAAACATCTTTTTCTCTGAGATGACAAATTGCGATTTAGGTTTGACTGCTTACAAAATCTTCCCAGCTGTTTCAATTTACATGTAGCTCTGAGGACTTCAATGACCTTTACAACCCTTTGTGTTTGCAGGTCTTTGTGGATTAGTGCTACTGTTACAGGCAGCTGAGTTAGTTAAAAATACCATAGGCAGAGAGACAGGGCTAGGTC